TCCCTCAAAATTTGCAGTGTCCACTCTCAAATCTCAGAACACTTGACTTTTAAGCTTGCTCAGAAACAGAGCAGAACCTGTTAGCCTGAACATCTTCCTCAGTGAGAAATGGAAAATAAACAGATATATATCATTTAAGGTTCCCTGGATGAACAGAACTCATAGAATAAATATGTATATAGAAAGTTTATTCATTTGAATGTCTCACAGGCTGTGTAGTCCAACTAGTCTGAACAACGGCTGACTACCAATGGAAAGTTGAAGAAGCTAATAGTTGTTTAGTGCAGGTAGAATATCTCAGATGATCTTCAGTATGTAACAGAATTCCAAGGATGTAGGCTCTAATGAGAATAAAAAAAAAGAAAAATCTAATACTGTCAAATATGCAACCAGACTAGACACAGCTGTGGATGAGATTAAAGGTGAATCTTATCACCATAAAACACTCAGATTCAAAAGCTATGAGTATGAAAAATTCCCCACAGTACCCAGCTCTATGTGTTTGCCTTAAGTCCAGATATAGTCAAATTGACTACCCAGACTAGCCATCACACCAGCCAATGTAGAAGAACTAAGAAAGAGGTTTTTGCTGGGGCAGACAATAAGAGCATGTGAGTCCTTTCCAAAGCAATGGTTTTCTTCAACAAAGCGAGCACTGGGATTTCACTTAGGGAATATGGATATGTCCAAATGTGGGTTCACCTACTGTGAGCCATGTGAGCCATGCTAAATAATACCTTTGCTAAATTAAATCCTGCTCTGAATGTAATCACAATGTAAAATCAGAGATATAAGGGCACTCTTAGCTCAAAGTCATGATGAAATATATGTAATTTTAAAAAATGGACAGAAATGCCCTTGGAATGTCTAATTTGAACCAGAAGTTCTTACCTGAAAATTAAGTAACTGACTCCACTAAAGTAGACTGCTCAGGAGGAAATGCCTTCTGGTAATCATGATGTCTGATCTATCAGGTGGATGTTTCAATGCTACATTTCCCACTTATACAAAGGACAGCACCAATTCAGAAAACTTCAAGGAAAATACATTTGTCATCACTGTGGACCATATCCTCAAGGGGAAAAAGCCTATAAATTGATATAGTGTATATTTTTGAAATCATTTTGATAGATATTTTCCCATAGCAATGGATGTTTTAGAATTTGATCTGTGGATTTGGGCATGGTGGCACACACCTGCAATAACAGCACTCAGCAAGGATGAGATCTGAATTTGTGGCCATCCCAGTCTACAAATTGAGTATAGGACAGCCAATGTTACACAGGAAATTCTATTTGAAAAATGAACAAAGAAACAAATAAACAAGCAAACAAAACAACTCACTCTGTGGACCACGAACTCCCAGGTCTAGGATGACAGGGATGCACTTCTGAGCCAAGTGGAGATGTTTTTAAAATGACCTATCCTTGAATCAAGGAATGAAATGATAAAATAAGATGTACAAAGGAACCGGTTTTCTTTAAATGAACAGTACTAAATCTTCAAAGTCTACAATTATTTACATCTGAAAATCATTTCTGTAGTAAGTGGGTTCTTTGCTTTGTTAGTATTATCCATTTAAAAATGTTTGGGTGTGTTTGTGTGTACACACCTATGCTACGGTGTATGTGTGCCAGTGAGAGGACAACTTGTTGCTATTTATTATTTACATCCCATATGTGAGCTCTCAACATGGAACCCAAAGACTCTTTTGGCCAGTGACCACAATGGCCCTTATTTATGTTGAAAATTTTATGTATGTGCTAGCTTGTGAGTTTGCATATACAACAGCCCAATTATACAAATATTAGAAAAATTTGTAGGGGTGATATAGGCTACCCAGAGGTTGAGCTCAGATCAGCAAGGTTAGCAACAACCAACTTTACCCACTGAGACAATTCTCTGACATTCACTTGTAGTTCTGAGAAAGTGTTATGACCAAGCCTTTACTCCTAAGAATGAACTAACACATTTCAAAACACGAAAGCAGTAAATTATTTTAACTTACTAATAGCATTTATTATTCAAATCACATCATTTTCTTCCATCCTCAAATGACAATTTATTTATAATCTGAATAGAAGACAATATTGTGCTGATGTACTGTTTCAACTAAGTTTATTTGAGTATCAATGAGCCCACTGGGGAATGTTTGTGGTATGTAAAACTGGCAACATAATCTTGAAGATCATATAACAATGAGGAAAATAAACGCCACAAAGTGTCACACACCCTTCATATATCTGCCATGGCCTAAGATCCCATACTTATATTACACACACACAACATGCTGTTTTGAAATAAATCTTGTTGGTGTTACATCATCCAACATGTCTAGATAATTCTATTAGAAGGCAGGTCTTCAAGATGATGTGACATATAGTAAATATGGGAACATGAAGAAGCATGGAACTTTAAATAATAATACATACATAAACACATATTATTGAGCATTTTAACACAAATACCTGACATTTAAGCAAGGCTGAAAGCAAACATCTCAATGGAATTTGTGAAAACATAAAAAAAGTACCACGCTTTCTCAGAGACACTTCCTTGAAAACTATGATCACACACTGAATGATATAAATAAGCATTGGACAACATAGATGATGGGGACACCATTCTGTACATTGCAGCAGAAAAATACCTTTCACCAAGTGGAAATGCATTAGAACATGAACAGCCGCCACAGAAAGATTATCAGAACAACCTAATAAACTTCTGTGAATAGATTTGCTACACATAGAGCAAACTTCAATACCTACTCCAATGTTTCAAAATACTGACCACAACCACATTTGGTGATCTCCTCCATTATATTAAAGTGAACATGATAAAGCATTTACTTCCTACAAGGCTATGATAAAAACATATTTTCAAAAGTCTCTTTTCTTTAAATTGAATACTTTTATTACTTCCAAAATCATCAAATCTTATAGACAAATAAGGATGCTCTCCTCTGCAAATTGTTTTCTACTTCTTGATCACAAGATCATACATAAAGATTTAAGATATTTACAGTATTAGAGACATGGCTTTGCAGTTAAGTCAAGTTCATTCCCAGGACGTAGGTCACGTTTTTAACAACTTTCTATAATTCCTGGTATGAGATCAAAGGGTCTGTTCTTCATGGAAATCAGAATGGAGAGGTACATAAACACACAAAGACACACTGATATCACATAATGGAAATTAAAACAAATTATTAAGCTAATATACGTTTACTCATGAATGTTTTACTTGTGTAAGCACGCATTCCTGTAACTCAGATTTTGAGCCATCTACAGAGTTTTTCTTCATCATGAATTCCTTCATGTAACAGAAATCAAACATGTAGGTTTGAAGTCAGAAAAATGAATCCTTCTCAGTTGGTGGTATCATTTGTGAATGTTTAGGAAACGAAGAAATCTTCAAGGAGTGAGACTGATAGTTTTTAACTGCATACCATCTGTACTTCCTACTCTCTGCTTTATGCTGCAGGTTGAGGATGTGAGCTCCAAGCTTCCTACTTCAGCTGCCATATATGACATTTGTGGTGCCCATTTCATAGTGATCCCGTATCCCTCTGGAAATGTAAGGTAAAGCAAACACCTTTGGAAGTTGACACAGACATTGTGTTTTGTCACAGAAAAGGCAGCAATACACATACATAAATTTTACAACTAGATGATTTATATCATGAAATTGAAGAGAATTGTGAAATCTAAAACGGTTAACTTATGATTTAAATTTATAGGCCTTTTGTCCATATGATCTTTCAATTGGAAACAAAATAAGGATAAATGCCATAATACATGAATACATTGTTGACACTTGTTAGAATTTTCCTCCCAAATAATCTCCTGTAACTGAATGCACATTGCTGGGTCAAAGATCTTAACAAATCTTTTATCCTAATATTTTTTTTCAGAATGAGTTATTTCATGTTCTCAAAGATTACTGTGGTATGCAAAGGCTGTAACAGGTTGCTCACACACTACGGCTTTTACTCTTCTATAACAGTACCATGATGAGGAAAAGTACCATACTGACTATATATTCATGGGGTTTTTCTGCACAATGACTTTTTCTCATGATTTCACAAACAAGTACATGAAAACGCTTTACCACATTGCTTATTCATAAGGTTTTGCTGCAGTATGTATTCTTCTATGTATTTGGAGGTAACTGTTAAGAAAAGGCTGTATCAAATTGATTACATGTGTAAGGTTTCTCTCTACTATCTGTTCTTTTATATACTTGAAGATGACTGTGAAACGCAAAAATTGCAAAAGTAATTTGCCCTAAATATTGCCTTTTAGATATCAGTCTCCATTGAATTATAGGATGAACATACGCTTACATTCATAGTCCATAGGAAAGCTAGAGACTTCCCAAAAGAAGAGAAACTTTCATCATTCATCTTTTGTTTCCCAAAACATGTCTGTTCCATTTATAGCTTCTGTTTCTTAAAACAGAATACCTTTTCCTAACCACAAAAGAACAAATGGATACAACTGTTTGGACTGTAAAACCTATTGCATCAGGTACCTTCCTCGGTGATATAAACCAATCCCATATCCCTAAACACTGACTGATTTTAAAAGAGTTGTAAAACAGCACAGATGTTTACAGTCTTCAAGCTCAGAACCTCTGTAACTTTCTGTCTGAATGGATGGATAGGTATCACAGTTCAGTTCCAAAGAATGTTATGTGGCCCTCATCAACCAGTAATGTCAGGATGACAATAAATTTTTGTCATATGCATTGACATAGTGTTTTATTTTCTTTGATTCAGTGGAACGAAGAACACAAAGCCTTACCATATTGCTTATATTCTCAGAATTTCTCTCCAGTATGAAACTTTTATGATGATAAAGAATATAGATATGTACAAAGGCCTCACATTTTAACACAATCAAAATTTATCTCCTGTATGAATTCTCTCATGATGATTATAGAAATGAGGAACTTCACCATGTAAATACATTCATAGTCTTTCTGTCCAGTAGTGATTCTTACATGACTTTGAAGATGATTCTGAAGATAAACAGTTTTAACACATTGGTTATATTCATAAGGTTTCTCTCCAGTATGTGTTCTTTAATTCTTAGGGGTTTACTATTACACGAAAAGGCTTTATCACATTGGTTACATTCATAATGTGTCTCTCCAGTGTGTATTCTTTTACGTACGTGGAGATTATTATGGCATGCAAAGGCTTTGTGATAATGGTCACTTCAATATGTATTCTCGTCTTAGATGACTGTTACATGAAAAGCCTTTATGACATTGTTTAAATTCATAAGGATTTTCTGCAATATGTACTTTTATACATTAGGAGATGACTGTGTTGTACAAAGGTGATAGCACACTGATTACATTCATAAGATTTTTCTCCAGGGTGTTTTTTTTTTGTTTTCAGGAACTAGCCTGAAATGCATTAGACTTCATCATGTTGGATATATTCATAGGATTTCTCTCCAGTGTGAGTTCTTTTATGTACTACCAAATGACTGTTCTGGGGAAAGGCTTTACCATATTGGTTACATTTATAAGGTTTCTCTCCAGTGTGAGTTCTCTTGTGTATTAGGAGAGTCTTGTTACGTTTAAAGGCTTTACTACATTGGTTACATTCATAAGGTTTCTCTCCACTGTGTGTCCTTTTATGTCTTAGGAGATGACTGTTACGTGCAAAGACTTTACCGCATTGGTTACATTTGTAAGGCTTCTCTCCAGTGTGAGTTCTTTTATGTATTAGAAGAATACTGTTCTGTGAAAAGGCTTTCCCACATTGGTAACATTCATAAGGTTTCTCTCCAGTGTGAGTTCTTTTATGATTTAGGAGATGACTGTTCTGTGTAAAGGATTTACCACATTGGTTACATTCATAAGGTTTCTTTCCAACATGTGTCCTTTTATGTCTTAGAAGATTACGGTAACTGACAAAGGCTTTACCACACTGATTACATTTATGAGGCTTCTCTCCAGTGTGTGTCCTCTTATGTTCTAGGAGATCATTGTTACGTGCAAAGGCTTTACCACATTGGTTACATGCATAACGTTTCTCTCCAGTGTGTGTCCTTTTATGCATTAGAAAAATACTGTTATATGCAAAGGCTTTACCACATTCATAAGGTTTTTCTCCAGTGTGTGTCCTTTTATGTATTTGGAGAGTACTGTTACATAGAAAAGCTTTACCACACTGGATACATTCATAAGGTTTCTCTGCAGTGTGAGTTCTTTCATGGTTTAGAAGATGACTCCTCTGCATAAAGGCTTTACCACATTGGTTACACTCATAAGGTTTCTCTCCAATATGTGTCCTTTTATGTCTTCGGACATGACTGTTACTTGCAAAGGCTTTACCACACTGGTTACATTCATAAGGTTTCTCTCCATTGTGTGTTCTTTCATGTATTAGATTACAGTTCTGTGCAAAGCCTTTAC